CCTTTACCATGAATATATTTTACTACACAGATTCTTCTTGCACCCCATTGGAATCTGTTAGATGGAGGGGTGGTCCTCTCCCCTGCCTCTGCTTCCCAACAGGCAGCCATTCGAGGCTTCAGGGGTCACATCAAAGGTACCCCACCTACTCCTTCAAACACTACCCCTTCAATCCGACCAGTTCATTATCGGATATCAAAGGTCCGAAGCACCCCCTACCTACTTAATTGTTCTATGCCTTGACAACTACACCCCCACCCTTTCGTGCTCTATCCGTTATTTGGCAAAATTGTGATGTACGACCGTGGTGGGGTGGGTCCTTCTCCCACCCCCATTTGCCTTACAGTCGTACCAACGGAGTGAATATGGTGCTGATGGACAGCGTGGAAGTGACAGTGTTTGGGTGGGTTCATGGGAAAGGAGGGGGTTCCTGCACTGTATTCAGTGATATTTGAATCTAGAGGAGGGGGTAGTGGTTATCGTCTTGAATCGTAGTGGGGTCTTTCCTTGGACCTGGTGGGTAGTTTCTGACCCTTGGCACCAACAGCCAAAATGATAAAAGCAAGGGTGGGTAGGAATTATCATGTCTGCCTTGATTCGAAATTTTGAATGGAAAGGCAGGGTACATGAGGGGATACGATTGATATCCTATGTTTATATTACATAAATTTTCAACATAGTGGGTGCAGCCTAATACTTGCCTCTCAGGCGTCCGGAAGAGGAAAGGTACCTATCATGCCGAATGACCCCCCGAAGAGGGTGGTGCGGGTATTGGTGAAGCGTTCGGGTGGGGGTGCTTCTTTGTTGGAGATGGTGTACAGGGGGGTAGGGGCCGGTCTCGGCATAAAATGATACCTTGAGGGTATGTTACTTTGATAGGGGACGGTGGTGGGTACAGTTTTGATCACGACCGGTCCTATTCCCGCACTGTGAAATGTTGAAAATATGGGTACCATCTGACTTTGAAGATGTTGGGTACAGATATTCGGTGGTAGGGGGTGGGGTGGCGCTTCGTCAGGGGTCATGTCCAACGGACACCCACCGGCGGAGAGGCAAAATTTCCGAAGAGCGTCAGATATTGACCATATTAAGAATGATTTGATGAATAATGCCCACCCCATACCCTCATTTGTTTATGGATAGATACAACATTGAGCAATAATTGTACGAATTGTTATGAGCCAATATCTTTTCACCTCCCCCCTTGAAAATTTGATCACCTTGAGTCAAAATTTGAGTGTCCCCTCACTTGCCCCCTCTTGCCGTCTCCTCGAACATTCAACCTTTCGAGCAGCCACCCCCATGGCATGACCCACCCTAAGGACTTTCCCATTCCATTGTGATGACATACCTACCCCACCGTCCTCTTTTGAAAACTATGGAAAGAAAGGACCCCACCCATCGGATCGACAAACTTCAGAAAGTACCAGCTCCGATGCATCAGAAGGACCCACCTTTTGTCTGTATGTATGAGCCTTCATATGATCCCCCCACCCCCTTCCTTGGGCCCCCTTCCCTACCCACCCAGTCGAATTTGTCTCTAAATCAGGCTAGATTTGGTTGAATGCAAATTTACCACCACCCCTACTCATCAGTTGAAATGTTGTCCCCTACCCACCTTACAACTAACAAACAAATCAATTACACCACCGCCCAATGTGAACTTGAAACCTGGCTTTGTGGACCCGTGATCCTGTACCACCACCTCCCAATATGAATTTTTGGACCCCACCATCACGAAAAAACTGGATTGATACACCTCCACTACCCCTACCTACCTCTACTTCATTTTTCACCCTACAGCGACCGGACCCGAACCCTACCCCACAGTACTGTGAAGGGGTACCCCACCCTGTATTGCCAGGGTTCTTTTAGACCCTTGCCGACCTGCCATAGATCTCCTCCTCCTCTTCCTACACTCCCCATACGTCTTTGTCCGCTTGTCTACCTTACACACCCATAGAGCTTGCCTTCACGTCCTCGAAATCCTCTGCTCTTTCCTCGCATCCCTCTGTTACGAAGCAAACACTCCTCAGCGGCCTCTTTTCTACGATCGATCCATTGGTCGTGACGCAGCAGCTGATTGCAAAACACTGGACCTGAAGACAACAGAAGTACTGACACCACTACTCACACACAAGCATGGCTGTGACTCGCCGAAACGAAAACAAGATCAAAACTGAGCCCGCGGATACTGCTGGTGCTACTAAAGCTTCCTCTGCTGTCAAGGTGAAGGACGAGATTGCCAATGACTTCGACACGGACCTCGTGAAAGTGTGTGGGACGGAGGACTGCGATTCCCCGATCTTCTCCACCTGCGGATCTCCCGACGACATTGATGAGAGTGCTGGAAGCGAACTCGGGGACTATGAGCTCTCGTACCTTCACTCACTGTACCACGGAGATCTTCCTGACACAATCCTTCCGGACGCGGTCGCACCCCCATCCCTGGGCTCGACCTCCTGCCTTACGGGGCTTCCATGCGCAAAGAATGGTGGACTGATGAATGCGGTGAGCACTTTTGGAGAAGCTGAGAGCTTCGGCTATGGCGGGAGGGGGCTCGTGCAGCCCGACACTCCTCCACGGGGTGGGCATGATTCATGGGACTCCGACAGTTCCCCGCGCTGCTTGTCTCCCTGTGTTCCATCTGGACCTGTTCCCAAGTCTTCCTTGAGCAAGGCAAGCAACAACAATCGCAAGCGCAAGGCTGGTGTCGCTGAGAGTGCTCCGAGCAAGTGTGCTCGTGCTGCTTCAGTGGACATCTCTGAGGACGGGAATATCTCCGACGCCGAGTCTGCATCGAACAGAGGAACCTACGATGGTTTGGAGATCCGCCCTGAGGATGACCCGCTGGGCCTTTTCAAGAAGGACCCTGCGACTCTTACTCCGGAGGAGCAGCGAATCTTGAAGAAGCAGCGAAGGCTCTTGAAGAACCGAGAAAGCGCTCAGCTTTCTCGTCATCGCAAGAAGATGCATCTGCATTCTCTTGAGAAACAAGTTGACCAACTAAAGAAGGAGAAGGCGGCGTTGGCAAGCAGAGTACAAGAGCTTGTGGACGAAAACGACAGGCTTCGGAAACAAATTTTACTAGCACTCTAAACTAACGGCCATATTTGCGTCCTGTATCGAAAAAATATTAAATGGTTTGATCGCAAAACCGTCTTCACGTTGAAACATCCAACCTTTCATATTATCATGCAACTCGCTTGAGTCTGCTGATGTACTTCACTTTCATCCAAGCGTCCTTTGGATCAGGTCGAGCATCAGGCAGAACATACTCGAGGAGGATGCTCTCTACTGTGTCTGCGTCCACCACTCTGAACCTGCATCTATACCATCGAGCTGAGATCCTGGGAGCTGGTGCAACCCCAGTGAGGGACCCAGCGTTCTGCAGCTGAGCAATGCGTACAAACTCGGTGAACTCTGCCGTACTTCCGTCCCCTCCCATGGAGCTGCTCCTCTTGGTCACTTTGCGCTCCTCAATCCTTCCGTCAGGGTAGGAAACGGTGAGGACGTTTGGGTTGCTTGCACTCCACTGCACATCCATGCCTTTCTCGTCCTCTGCAGCAAGCAGCTGTCGGGTGTTGTATTCCCGGTCTGCTATCGTGCCATCTTCCTTCGGGATGTATCTCGTTGTGTACTGCTCAACTTTGTCTTTTCTACTCAGTACCTTCTTGTACAAGTCTTGATCTTCAATCGCCGCGAGGAGCTCAACGCCGGTGATGGTACGTTCTACGTTCCATTTACCACGGAAGGAATCCGGGTAGAAAACATCCTTGGGTCCGAAACCAGGGATTTTGGACGCAGCTTTCCTGACGTTCTCTCCCACCTTGTCGTCCCTAACAAGGTCCTGTGCGAAAGCTGGCTGAGAGGTAGGAATACCGCAAACTAGCAACGGCCCGAGCAAACGGAACAGGGTTCTACGGGACAGATCTCCTGTGAAGATGAAGCTTTCACTCCCTTGAGATGTTTCTGCTGACTCAGTCTTCCCTGTCATAGAGCAGTAGGATGGTGCTCTAGCTCTCACCCACCTCGATGCCCTGCCCTCAAGTGATCGAATCCTTGTTGTGCAGGACGGAGGGATGGTAAAGGCCGGGCTCACTGGCAGGGCGTGTTGCAGAGCTTGTGACGATGGGATGAGAGAGACTCCGAGAGACGCCATAGCAAGCACAGTCAAGACGCTGCTCCTCCGTCCTCCTCTCTCCACTCCGCTCCCTCGCCCCATCTGTACTGCGCCGGACTTGTGAACCTCCCGCTTATTTGTCCGAAGGTTTTCTCTGGTTGTCCAACATCCGCGTCCTGCAATGGTAATAGCCGTTATGTGACGGTTATTCTTTCATTCCCGGGAAGGGCTCGCAGAATGCTGCGAGCGGGAGCGAGAGAAGGAAGATGGAGGAGGAGGAGGAGGAGAAGGAGGAGAGAACGAGACAGCAAAAGGAAGGGATGAGGAGGAGGAGGAGGAGGAGGAGAAACCAGAGTACAGAAAATGATATCAGAGGAGGCGGTGCCAGGTTGACGCGGAGATGGAATGTAGGGTAGGTAAGACAAAAGAGGGACGCAAGATCTGGGGTGGATGAAATATGATATTTATCGAAGAAGTGAAGGATCGAAGTGAGAGCAAGCAAACGAAATTGCAATCTCATGATCTCCCTTTCTTCTTGACCATACCGTCCGGTCCCGGCAAACAAATCTTCTCCTGTCGAATGAAATATCTCGCTTCCTCCTTGTATAGAATAGCTCCAGCTTGATAATGGGATACGGAGCACAAGGAGATAGAGTTATTAACTTTTGGAAGTATGTGTGAACGGGTGCAGACATCTAACAGCAACATGAGACTGATCAGAGAGTACGTAACTGAAAATCATTGTTGAAATGTAGTATCTCAATACCTGCTTGTGACCATCCAGTATGATTCTACAGATGGCGAGGGCCCCGGTACTTGGATGAGAGTTCCTGCATCGTCTATGCAGGCATTGACAGAGGGATTGTATTCAGCTTGATCTCAGTCTCTCTGCCCTCCTGTCATAAATGACTTCGTCCACCGCATCGATGCTGAAGAGAAGGAGAGCAGCGCTGGAGCTGGGACAGAGGTGCTGCATACCTGCTACCTCCTGGTGTGAATGCTGATTTCGAAGTGTAGGAAAGAGGATTTCGAGTTTCAGGATCTCCTGGGCAAAGGAAGCTACGCATGTGTGTATCGAGCACGATCCCGTCATAGTTTACGGAAGGTGAATAGGACGGGGAGGACTTGAGGCAGAGATGAGGAGGAGGGAGGAGGGAGGAGGGAGGAGGGAGGAGGGAGGAGGGAGTGATGAGCTGAAGGAGACAGGCGAGCAAGCATTGCGTTGCAGTGCTCTGAACTCCTGTGGTTTCCCCCAGGTTGCCATCAAAATCATCGATAAGAAGCTGATTGCTGCCTGCCCGGCCTTGCTGAGCGAGTGCGGCTAGAGGTAGAGACGCACATCAACCTTGACCATCCCTCGGTCGTCGAGATGTACACATACTTCGAAGACGACCACAGCGTTTACCTGGTAGGAAGACAGTCTGCTCGCCTCTCGAGCGGGGCTGACGCTGAAGTCCCTTGTGAAGGTGTTGGAGCTTTGTGAAGGAGGGGAGCTGTACCGTTTCCTGCACGTGCGAAAGTTGATCCCCGAGGACGAAGCCGCGGAACTTTTCCGACAGGTTGGAATCCTGGAGTGATGAAATCCCCATCCCCTGCCATGCGTGTTCCTCCTCTCTTCTCCACTCCATACCACTCCCACACCACTCCCACACCGCTCCACGTTCCTTCCCCGATGGCTCCACCTCCTTTTTGCTTCTCCCTCCCTCCTTCCATTATCCTTATCGTGCTTCTTCTCTACCGCAGCCTCCCTCTCCTCCTTCCTCCTCGGAGAGGAGAAGGCAAGCTGGGTGTCATCAAGATGACTCTGACGATGGTGGCAGATCGTGACTGGGATCGAATACCTGCACTCTCACAACATCGCGCACCGAGACCTCAAGTTGTCAAACCTGCTCTTGACAAGCGACAAGCGGGTAGCACTGCAGACTGTCAGCATGCTCCTTCCCCTAACGACAATGGGAGCAGATTAAGATATCGGACTTCGGCCTCTCTATTGTCCTTAACAACGACAACAAGGAGAGCGAGACCGTCTGCGGAACCCCGAACTACATGTCTCCAGAGGTCATCTCCCGCTCCCCTCACGGCCTTGCCTCGGACGTCTGGTCTCTTGGCTGCCTCCTCTACTCTATGATCGTTGGCTGCCCTCCCTTCGAAAGGAGGAGCGTGAAGGAGACTCTGGAACGGATCGCTCAGGTTGACTTCTCATTCCCCGACTTCGTCTCTCCTCTCGCCCGAGACTTGATCGGAAAGCTCATCGTCAAGGACCCCAGCAAGAGGCTCCCTCTCTCCCTCATCCTCGATCATCCGCTGCTTACTAGGAGCCGCGGGGAGGCGTGTAAAGGCATGTCTGTCGGTTCAGTCACCAGCAGCGAGGAGAGGAGGAGGAGTGAGGATGGGCCGATGAGCAGGGAGAACGTGGAGGGGAGGAGGCATGAAGCCGACGATGCTCCACATCCTTCTCCTTTCCACTCGTCGGGGACTGCGTTGCGTGACAGGAGAAGGCAGGGAACTTGTCAAGATTACGCGATGAATGGACAACAGAAAGAAGATGGTAGCCCAATCTCTCAACAAACACTGGCTCAAAACCTTCATGATCGCATACGTCAACAGCCGGAAACATATCAACGCTATCAGCATCAGCAACAAGATCCTGACAGACATCATACCCAACAAGCTTCTCCGTTCAAATCAGGAGAGTTGATGCTTGCTCTGTCGGCACTAAACTCCGACAAGCAAGGAAACAAAAATGCGTGTGAAGAAAGCTTTGCCAGCACACTGATGTCAGCGAGGAGTCACAAGGTAGCAACTCCCGTCCAATCGTCACGTTCAAGAACGAAGTCAGAAGCTGAAACTTTCAGGTCCAACGGTGAGACGAGGATGGCGAGGGAACATCAAGACAGCAACAGGAAAGTCAGGGGCATCGACGTGAAGGGGATGAACACTCACATGTACGAGACCAAACACGTCAAGATCTTCATCGAGGAAGAGGGAAAGCTGTATGTCCTCTCCAAGAAAGATGCTCTTGCCATGGAGATGTCCAGCTTCTCCCCTCTCATCAGAGTCGGAAAGTTTCGCTCCAGCTCTCCAACAAGGGACGAAGTGCTGAAATTCTTCAGCAGCGACCCGTCAAGCTCGGCTACCAGAGTGTTCTCCATTGACCAGCTGGCAGGCAGCCTGGAGAGGCTAGCAGCGTACACGATCAAAGTTGTTTCGCTGGTCCAGTCCCGATCCCCCAAGATCGTCTTCCTCTCTCCCTGCGCGCGAGCTCAACTCATGGACGACGGGAGGAACGGACGAGTTGCCTCCTTCTCCTGTGAATTCTACGAGGGGATTTCTATCAGCATGCAGGCGGACGGATCAGGCCTGCGATGGGTAAGCAGGGAAGACGCTGGGAGGAGGAGGGAGGAGCTGGAGCAGCATGCCCGGTGGTGCTTGTCCCAGTGCAAGAGGACGGAGGCTACACTGGTGAAGCTGCAGGAGCAGGGGAGGAGGACGAAGATCCCTGTGGTGATCGCGCACAAGGCGGCGATCAGGAGCAGGAGATGGGGGGGGGAGGAAGAGGCATCAGCTGTACATGCTCTTCCTCATCACCACCATCACCTCACCCCCTCTCAAGATCTCTCTCACCCTCTCACGTTCCTCAGCGTCTCTTCCGTCTCTCTTCGCTCCTCCGAGCCTTCCGCATGGTCAGACAGAAGGTCACGTGCCTCCACCGTTCCCTCCACGTCCCCCGACAGAACCCCAGCATCTTGTCAAACCTCGACCGCTTGTCAAACTCCCTTCGAGCGCACAAAGGTAAACCCCGGCTGGGAAGGGGAGGCTGTCATGGCAAGGGGGAGCATCGAGCTCGGAGACGAGCCCAGGAAGCTGCTGGGCCAGACAGGAGGAGCGGAACGAGACCGGAGGGAGGAGGGAGAACGTGGCATGCGATTGTTATGGACAGAGCAGCCGCAGCCGCAGCCGCAGCCGCAGCCGCAGCCGAAGGAAGAGGAGGAGGAAGAGGAGGAGGTGAGAAGAAGTAGACGAAACAGATCTTCCCTTGACACTGTCCTGCAGGTGTCGGAGGGGCGCGTCTACGAGTTTGGAGAGGAGCAGTCTCGCCCTACTGTAGTCAAGACAGCCTTCTTTGACAAGCTCGGGTGGATCTCCGTGCTCGAGGACGGCTCCAGCTGGGCCCAGCTGGTCGATGGTTGTCAATTTGTGTCAGCCGGGGATCAGGTAGGGGCGCTGAATGCCCGTCTGCCCTCCCTCCCTCCCTCCCTTTTGCCCCTTCCCTCCCTCCCTCTCTCCGTCTTATGGTTCTTTTAGTTGGTTTTCGTTTCATCCGAGGGCGAGCGGCGGCTGCTGGACGTCAGCCGGGGGATGCTGCAGGTTGTCCCCCCTCGAGTTTGCGGCCTTCAAGTTGACAAGCTGACAGGACGGGGACGTGGAGGAGGTGGTGGCGAGGAGAGCCGAGAAATTGATGTCATGCTTGAATGTGATGTAATGTTAAATTTAACATGTTAAAGTTTGTAGATCTAAGATTCAATAAGTAGATGAAAGATGATAGACAAACAATGAAAGGAGAAGTTAAACGATGATGAAGATGAAGATGAAGATTTGCTATCAGATGTACAAGCTGGATGAGAAGGGGATCCCTCTCTGAAGAGCTTTCTGAGTCTCCACGAACTATGACTTTGTCATTCGAAGAACAAGAAAGAGTGCAGGGCCAAACACAAGTAACACAGGAAAACAACAACACAGGTAACAACAATCAACAAGCACAACAACAAAACCCAAAATCAGCAAAACATAACGAGAACCATCAACTTCATGAAGTCACCCACAGTTGATCAACCACTTGCTCTCATCTCATCACCTTCTCCTCCAGGTCTTTGTCGCCGATTGCCTCCGCTGCCTTGACCATCTTGCGAAGTTCAAAGTCAGACTAGCAGGACAAGCCTCTCCTGCCCCACCTGCCGCAGCAGCTCCGCCTCTCGTCTCATGGCTCGGATGACGCTTCCCTCGAACAAGCTGGTCTGTGGAGAGAGGAAGGGAGAAGTGAAGAGAAGAGAAGAGAAAGAAGAGAAGAGAAGCGAAGAAAGGAGAGGAGAGGAAAAGAGAAGAGAAGAATTAAACAAGACAAGACAAGGGTGAGAGCACAACGAAGAAGTTGGAGAATAAGGAAGGGGGAGAGTGGAAGGAAGAGAGACGGGGAGACAGGAAGGAAAGAATCAATTGAAAAAGAGGCAGCGATGGGAAAACAGATAAGAGAAAAGTGGATGAGGAAGTAGGGAGAAAGACCAAGGGAGGAAGATAGACGAAGGAAGAAAGAAAAGCAAGAAAAACAGCAGAGAAGGTGAGAGCGGGAGGGGAGGGGGAAGCAGCGGGAGGGGAGGAGGAGATACGAGGACTATGATCGGATGGAACTTGACCAACCTGAGTGCAAATGTCGCCGAAACTGCAGCCGGAGCACCAAACTGACGTGTGCAGTGAGTAAGACAAGCACATGTACAAAGACGAGGACGAGGACGAGGAGCAAGAAGTCGAGCATGAGGAAAAGGAGGAGCAACACGAGCAACACGAGGACGAGGAGCAAGAAAAAAGAGTAAGAGGACGAAGGAACGAGGACGAGGACGAGGGAACGAGGACGAGGGAACGAGGACGAGGGAACGAAGACGAGGAAACGAGGACGAGGAAACGAGGACGAGGACGAGGACGAGGACAAAAGCGAGCAAAACTCACGGAAGACGATGTCCATCAGGCAAGTGTTGGTGGATGGCAGCGGAGCCACGGGCAACTCCACCTCCTGCAACCACCCCCTCAGCTGCCAGCATGAGAGCACCACCCCTGACCTCCTCCGTCTTCTTCAAGTCCTCCTTGACTGTCTGCAGCAGTCGGATCATCTTGGCGAGCCTGGTGGGCGTCAGCTGGGAGGCAGCTGGAGGAGGAGGGTCACTTGAACTCCTGCAGGTGTCCGGCCTCCACTTCTTCTTCTGCTATGACGCAGGTGAGGAAGGAGGCGATCTCAGCTGGAGTTGCCTGTCCGACAGACAAAAACATCAGGAGGAGCAGGAGGAGGAGGAGGAAACGAGGTGGAAAAGCGAGATGAGGTGAAAGGTGGTGAAATGGAAAGAGCAGGAAAAAGAGGAAGCGTGATGAGTTGGAGGTGGAGCAGGAGCAGGAGCAGGAGCAGGAGCAGGAGCAGGAGGAGCAGGAGGAGCAGGAGGAGGAGGAGGAGGAGGAGCAGCAGCAGCAGCACTAGGAGAAGGAGCAGGAGCAGGAAGAAATCACTTTGTTGAAAGCTCCATGGAAGATGAGCTCCGAGAGAACCAAGTCTTCAATCGCTTCGATCTTTGAAGATGTGAGACGAACCCCCGAAAGAAAGCGAAAGACGTGTGGAAGAACAATCATATCACAACCACAACCTCCAACACCACCGCCAGCAGCAGCGGCACCGGCACCGGCAGCAACAGCGCAAGAATAACAACAGGTGAAAAGGAGCGATAAGAATGAATGTTTCAGAAGAAGCAGATTGATGTGAGACCTGGCAAGCTGCTTGTCCTTTGATAGTGACGACATTGTCTTCCTGTGACAAGTGACTTGCCGGTCGGTATGAAACAATGACCTTGTCACCGAGATGTAGTGCAGCTTGCGGAGAACCTTCATCCTCTTCTTGAGCTCATCTGATGACCTCATCGATCATCGGACTATCTTGATGAGATTATGAACCTTTGAATGTGAAAAGCATCGTTGTCTTCTTGGTCTTCGCCTAAGATCACATCGTCACTATCATCATCACCACCACCACCACCACCACCACCACCACCACCACCACCACCACCACCACCACCACCATCACCATCACCATCACCATCACCATCACCATCACCATCACCATCACCATCACCATCACCATCATCATCATCATCAT